AAACCCAGCTCCCGGAGGAAAGAAATCAGCAGCACAAAAGAACACTCAAGTCCATTATCAAAGTAAAATGCTGGATTATCAAATAGAAATGGTATCGATAGGAAGCACAGAAATGTGTACCCGGGTTTACTAGCCAGGTCTGAGTGATTCTGTTCAGCAGCATTAGTAACATCACTACCAGCACTCATGAAACAAGCCAAAAGCCCAAAGATGCATTTCCTTAGGGAGATGCAAGCAAATTAAATCATTGTCTGCAATAAAGGAAGAGATACTGATAGTTATTTTACTAAGCGTTTCTGCAGCAGATAAAGAATTGGAACTTGCAAACCAAATGAAACACTCACCTCTCCTCATTAAATGTGGACTGGGACCCGCCGCATTCTGTGGCTGATTAACAGAAAGCTGATTAGTGCTGCTTGTGGACTGGCTCTGCACAGTGCCCGCGTGCCCACCGTTCCTCACGGATGGAGGAGTAGCTGAAGATGAGTTGTCCTTAGATTTTGAGGTACTGAAAATTAAAAATCCTAAGTTAGAAGATGATTGTAATGCCCTAACAACATCAGCTGCACCCGTTCAGGTTTACATTACAACCTCTGCTAGAGTTCTGAGCCTCAAAGGCTTCAGAGAACCTTCTGTGCTGGCCGCTGTTTACTGACAGCCTGGACAGTGCCACAGCTCTTCTGACACGTGGGCTTTAGGCAAGAATGTGCAAACCATTAGCTACCAACATTACACCAGGAACCCCAGCACTTCTGCAGTGTCACAGTGCCTGTCTGAATGCATGAGGGGTACTCAGGAGCACAGTCCCCACGTTAATGGACCTGCAGTGGATTTGCAGGTCCTTTAAAAACAGACTCCCAACATCAAAGCTGACAAATTTACTTCTCCAGTCTCCTCATTCACAGGTTCCTATCCCCCCCTAGTTAGCCTTTTCTGTCACAGCATCACATCCAATTCACTGGCAGTTTTCTGGCAGACCTAGCATCTAACAACCAAGTGATGGCAATCTGGGAAGCTCTGCTGAGAAAAAAACACCTACAAAAGGACATGGACCAACTTGCTATGGATAGTCTGTGGGTGAAGCAGATGTAGTCCTCATATAGTCCCTATAGTCTCTTGCAGCATCTTATTCATCTCAAAAAGACCTTTCAGTCACTTTTACTGGCACACTGCAATCCCAATTTCCCCAGATGCTGTTAATAAGTTGCAAGCACTTGAATGCAGAGTTTGTGCAGATTTTAAACGTGGCTTTTAGACTCTGCTCTCAAGGTTTCGTTTTAGCTGCCGACGCCACGAAAGACACCTGTGGAGGAAACACTGGTCTGGGGGATTCCCAAATGAGAAGTTGCTCTTGTAAAAATGTCACCTGAGAACAAAAGCCATGTGCAAAGGAGTCAGTGCTGCATGGAGCTCCATGGGGCTGCTTTACTGCAAGATAGTGCAAGAGGCTGATGTCTGGAGAACACTACAGCCTTTACACGTGGTTTTTGTTCTGTCTCTCAGACCACAGGAATATTTAAAGCAAAGTGCTGCTTTCACCACACATGAAAGGAAGAGTCAAGGCTACTACAGCCAGGCTTGGAGCCCATATATACTGCTGCTGGGAACATGATTGCATGGGGTTTCAACAGTAATTAAGTAGCAAAAAAAACCTCAGTATGTGCTCGTCCTAATGAAGCTAATATTGGAGTATGATAAATCAACTTCCAGTTTTCTATCAAGTCTGGTCATCACTAACACTTGCTACAGACAAACAAACCCAAAAGACAAATCCAGATAACACATACAAATAACAACAAGACAACAGGTTGCTAGTATTGCCACTGGCAGCTTTTGGTTTTCAGCAGCAAACTGATAGTCACACTGTGTGGACACCTCTGGAGTATAACTTGGCAAGGTCAACATGGGTTGGAGAAGTACAGAGGTTTTTCAGTATTTCTAATCATCTTTTTTTCCCCTCCAAGAATTCTTTTATTTTAGAAGCTCCATTCTGGGACATACAGCACAATGTATGTTATTTTAGAAGGTCAGTTCTGCAACAATATGCATGGAGAGAGCTCCTGCAGAGTGCTCCTGCCCACGCCTGAAGAGGCTCCACACGTGCAGGGCAGTCGGAAGAGGTGCCTTGAGAAGCAGATCAGCCAACATCAGTTTGCTGCTGCAGCAGCCTGCGAAGCCCCTGCCAGCAGAAGCCAAGCCTCTTACCTGACATCCTCATTTCCTTGGCCTTGTAACTGTTCTGCTGTGCCAGCAGAGAGAGCAAAACCAGCACCCACGGGGCTTGTTTCAGCCACAGAACCTTGCGGGTGCTGCTCCGCTCCCGGCTGAGCCAGCAGGCCAGGCTCCGTGGGTGGAAGGGGTGGCTGGAAAGCTGGGGATGTGTGCTTTCTATTTATAGTGCCACATCTCCTGGGATTCGCTTGGAACTCCATAACCTTGACACCAAAGCTACAGAAAGAAGAGAGAGTAAACACACCACGCCAGCCCACACCAGGGAACTCAAGCAACAGGACAAGGGCACGTTATAACCCACGGGGACACACGCAGCCCCTGCTGCTCAGCATGCAAAGCAGCAACAAGGAAAGCTTCAACTTTCTGCATAAAACACCATTAATGTTAAGACATGCAACACTGTTTGGCTTACCCACACAGGGGGTAAGCTAAACCTAAGTGGAACAAACTACTCAGGTACATCTGAAGACAGACATTGATGACAATGAGGTCAATCTGCTCAGTGATTTTACGTGTGAATACACAGATTTCCTTACACACCAGGGTATCTCCTCACTGAATATATTTTGCCATATGAATTTTGTTTCTATTACACACTAAGCTGCTGTACAGACTTCAGAACAGACAAGAAAAGCCACTGGATATATGCTGTGATTTGTGTTTGAAGGAGAACTATGGACAAATGAACTGCAAGTCTAACAGATTTTAAAATTCATACAGCACATTCAGTCTAGAATTTAATTTTATTCACGTTGTGTTAAAGACAATGAATCCTGAATTGATTTTCTTCTTTCTCTGTCAGTGCTGATACTTTTGCATGTGGCTGGCCACAGTTAACATTCGGGCAACCATTTAACATTTGCATAAACAGCTAAAAACAAAACAGGACATCACTTAATTGTCATGATATGAGTGATAAGAGATGAACGTTACTCTACATGTTATATGGGAAAACAGCACGTTTTACTTTTACTTTTTAGCATTCTACTGTTGGCTGTGGTATACTGTACCATCATCAACTCAGAAGTCTTACCATGAAGGCACCAGGTAACACCACCTCAGCTTATGGGCTTTGAAAAAGAAGCCATGGAATATCAGAAGTTAGATACTGACAGATGCTACTACCCACGCTTCTGTTTCAGTGATTTTAGACCCCCCAAATCTGTAACAGGAGAATGGCATCTGGAAGCAGAAATTATCTGCTTGGTTTTTTGATGCATAGAGTGTAGCTGGGAGCAAATACCAGGACATTACCTTTGAACCTTCCTCAGGCTGCAACAACACAGAGGGAAATAAATCACTATTGTTATCTACAGCATCTCCATGAAATTCTCCTCCTGAGCCCAAGAAAAGCATGTCCTACTGCAGCCTCCTTAGTAGTCCAGCTCTCAGGAGTGGGATAATCATGGAAACCCAATCCAAGAATGAAACCTACCCTTCCTTCTTCAGGAGATCCCCTTCCATCACAGTCATGCTGACAGGCCTCTTCCGTTCCAGCGTCCCACACTCGTACTCGTTCCCAGTGTGTGACAAGTGATTTGAATTAACAGCAGGGATTGCAACAAATGCCCCAGACACGTTGAAATCTTGCTCTGAAAGATGCAGACAGAGAAGAATGCATCCTAAGATACACCCATACAAAACGGTGCCTCACTGCAAAAAAGCTGCTGGGGGTTTACCTGTGTGGGGCTATCACAAACACAAAACTGTTTTCACTACAGCAAGAATTTACCTCCAGGGAAGAACCAGTCTGCATGCTGAATAATTGGCTCAATAACTGCTACCACGTGGACTGAAGTTGCTGCTGCCATTTCAGCAAGGGATCTGCAGAAGAAATTTGTACAACAGTTTATACACAGAAATTTGTATAACAGATTATAGTTCTATCAAGAAAAATGAAAAATAATTCATATTACCTAAATGACAAATGATGCTAAGCATGAGGTACCAAGACTCCCAAGTACCACATAAAGAGCAATGTCACACTGATGAAATCTGGACTATCCAGTAACATTCGTGGCATTTGAAATCACTCCCAAAAAGCCTCATGCCTAAAAGGATCTGGAGGCACGGGTTGGAAAAACATTTGAAGTATCTTTTTTAGGCAAATAAAATATTTTTTTAGGCTGTGACTAGTCTACATGATTTAAAGCAACCTGAAAGAAATCCTACAGCTTCATGGAAGTTCTACTTTATAGCTTTCCTAAACCAACCTACCCTTCAGTCTTTGCCCATAACAAGTTGGGGCCCAAGACGATGGCGACGTTGCTGGGGGTCATCTTATTCACATCACTGTGCTGTGCAAGCTTGGCCAAAAATTTGATTAAATACCTACAAAAAGGAAAGAAATCATTGGATGGCAGGAACTAAGGGCATTTCTTATTGAAAGCAACTAAGCAAAAATTCCAGAACTTGTAAAGACAGCTCCCAGCAGAACAGAAATAAGATGAACTGCTTTCTTGCTTGGCAGATGCTACTAAGCTTCTACCCATGAATCATAAAAGTTGAACTGGGTAGAAAAGAAAGGAGCTTGCACCTTAGCAAATATGGAAATACAGAACTATGGTATTATTTACATACTTTTTTCAGGAAAAAAAGTTTAGAAAAACTAGTTTAGAAAAAAAAAATATCCCTGTAATGGAGCTTTCATGCTTCTAGGAGTCACCAGAGTTGGTTTTGTTCCAAATCATTCCCAAAAGGCAAAATCAAAGGGAAAAATAACACGTGTAAAATACATCCTGGTGATTCCTAAGAGTAGAAAATACAGTGACAAACACAGCTGGTGAGAAGTCCAGTTCTACGGCAAACAGCACGACCCTTAAGCAGAAGGGTTCTATGCATCACTATTTCACTACAGTCAGTGGTGAAATAACTTGACTGGAAACATCTACCACCATCCACACACACCAACTACTGGATAAAAGAATATGTCCTTGTATAAACCCTTTGTCTGTGCCAAGAAAACCCACCGTGGGCCAGACTTCTGGTTAATCAGCTCTGCAGTGAAGTACTCTGGCATCAAAGCAGCTGTGCTGCAAGCCCACAGATGTTCCTACATACCTGAAGTTAGCATGGTAAGGTTTAGGTAATCTGTTACAAATCCTCCACAGCTCTTGTAGCTTCTTGTCCTGGTCCTGAATACTGAAAGGGAAAGAAAAATAACTCGTTACATTTACTTTCAGATCAGAAAATGGCTCTTTCTGCAGCAAACCAAGAGAGAAACACATAACCTTGCATTTATGCCAAATAAACACAGTGGTTTGACCTCAGTAACCTGCAAGTCAAATCCCTGAATTATCTCTGCCTGCAATGAAAAAAAAACCAACCTGCTTAAGCATTGATACTCTGCAGCCAAGAGTCTGAAGCAGCCCTTACGTTTAAACACAAAATAGGTCACACTGTTGTGCTAAGCTACCAAATTTAACATAATTTGGTAGTTACACTAAATATGTATCTGTTAGAGCAGAAAAGAGACTTTAAACTGTGTGAGCTTTGCCTCTTTCTTTTGAATTCATACATGAAGTAACAAGTTTGATAAAAACACGTAGAATGTTTTCCTATGTAACTCTTTTTAGGGTGCTTACTTGGCAGCTTGTGTCCATTCTTCATACAGACTGTAAGTCATCAAAGGTTCTGGCAACTCTCGCAAGTAAGATTTCAAGGCACCTGCAATGCAGAACAAACAGGTTTCAGCCAATGCTCTCAGTCTCCACTTCAAATTCTGTCCTCAGGTTTGCAGTTCTATCCATGCAGTAGCACCCAAGTTCCAGTGAAATACTGGGAAGACCTGATGCCTCCACAGTCTATCTGCTCAACTTCACACAAAAGGTCTTCTAGGAACTACTGTAAATTGACAGAAATGTACTGTAAAACTATGAAACATCTCTTCAGAACAAAGACCTAATTGAAGGACTACACACAGCTCTAATTTCCCTTGATCATGTTAACTGTCTTGTCAAGAGAGGAGATAAGACATCTGGATTACTATGATCACCAGAATTTTAAACACTGCTCTGTCACACAGGCACAAATACATCAAGTGTGATGGGCACATGCACCCCACACTTCTGTGTTAATATCTGGGTTAAGTTCTGCAGTGAAGTGGAGTTTCAATTTATTTTCATTCACAGAAAAATGAGTAGAGAACACCACTTTGGCCTGCAGCAAGTCAACAGTTAAATGAACAGCATAAACTTCTACCAATTTATACCTGGCTGGTCACAACATTCACAATACCTGCAACAGCATGGGGATCAGAGTAAAATTCATCAAGCTGGGAAGTGGAACAGTCCAAGGCAGCTTTCAGCTTTTTTAACTTGGAGGCTCCAGCAGCAATTCTGAATAAGCCCTGCATAATAAAAAGCAGAAGTACTTGACTGGTAACCACAGGTTAGCACAAGCACAGAACAGCACAAGCTGTGTGACAGCCTCTCCCAGCACACTTTCAAGTTTGGTGTCTCCCCCTGAGCCTGCCAGGCCCCAGCTGGCTCTTCCTGAATCACTCAGCACCATCTGACAATGTTCTAGTGCCCTCTCCCCCTTGGTCCATTCCTAAATTTTCATCCTAGGTGCATTCATCTCAAAGATACTGAAACATTAATGCTGAAGGTTCTTCTGCTGCAAAAGATTTATCATCTATGCTAATGAACTAAATTTCTTAGGCAACTTGTTAAAAAGTAGAGGCAGCAGTCCCTGAGCTTGAGCTCTCCCTTCCTGTCTCCCAGCAGGTGATTTGGTGTTACCCACCTCCTCTCTCATGCCTGTCTCCAAGAGCATCATCACACAGGCTTCAATAGGCACGGCGATTTCACGCCCGCTGCGCTTGAGGTGTTCTTCTAAGGGAGTCCCAAAAGCTGGTTTTTCAGTCCATTTGTCTAGTTGGAGAGTATCAAAACACTGAGCAAAATATCTAACAAACACTTTAATTATGTCCCAGGCAAGAAAAGAAGAAAGCCTCTAGTACAGCAGAGAAATTGGCACAATACAGTAGGAATTTTACAGCCCTTGACTGGTAAAGTCGCTCGTATCACGAGTAAAGAGAAAATGAAACTGTTGTTGTTGAAGAAAAAAATTACTTCTGCATCCTTCTGGGGAGAATGTCACACAAAAATCCTGTGTATGACTGCAAGTGCCTGTCTCACTAGGCCTCAACACAAGTGCCACCACATGGCTGGAAGTTAGTTCTGATTTGCCAAGACACCAACATGCTCAAGGTTTGCAAGAACCTTGGAGAAAAATTCTGTCCGGATCATGGGACCTCAGCTGAACTTAGTTTTAACTGTGTAAAAGCTGCATGAAAACTGAGCTGCTAACACAAAGTTTATTTGTGATTTAAGGAATCAGGAAACAAAACGGATGTTAAGAGCCCCACTATCTTGCATTAGAATTACCACATTAAAAGCCCATGACCAACACTTGCGTAAATTTAATTCAATTTCTCAATTGTTGCTTAACTCTGAAAGACAAAATTTGCACAAGTTTCTCCCAACTGAACGTGAATTTGTTGCCTAGAATTTATTTTTTCACCCATTTCTCCTGTCTTAATTGAAGAAATGAAGATGTAACTCTCAATTGTTGCTTAACTCTGAAAGACAAAATTTGCACAAGTTTCTCCCAACTGAACGTGAATTTCTTGTTGCCTAGAATTTATTTTTTCACACATTTCTCCTGTCTTAATTGAAAAAATGCAGATGTAACAGGTTATTGTTAGTACAGACATATTACTCCTTTTATGTGGAAAAAAGGTCACTAAAGATGAAGACTTTCAAAGAGTCTTGTGAAGACACACTCTGCTTCTGCAAAGGGTTTTATTTACCCTCTTTGTTCACAAAACCACATCAGCTGTACCCTCACAAGGCCTTGGCTCCTCTCATTCATTAGCACTCCACGAGAGGCACACCTCATTTTTCCAGCTGAAGTCATGCACTACACTTAGGTGCTGGACACTGGACCACGTGGACACCACGCCTCCTGGCCCACCTTCTAGGAAGGCTCCTCCCCTCTGAGGCATTTGTCATATGGAAAGTTGGTACAAAGCAGCTAAGCAACAGCAAAAACTTTAAAGGAGTTGAATCTGTCAGCAGAGAACCTTTCACTCAGCCCTGATGCTGGGTAAGCACTGCTTGTTTGTGTTACCTCATCTCCCATCAGATCTGCAGATATTCCACATCACCTTTCAGCAAGATGCTCCTATTTATACATTTAATTGGTTCATCTTTCATATGTGGTCCACAGCTGATGATAGCTGAGCCTTGTTCAGCTTAGAATATATTTTTCTCAGCCTACCTCTTGTTCAAAGCAATTAGCAGATGAAGAGATGGTACAGCCAGTCTTTAGGACAGAAATTTCAGTGCACCTTTCTACCAAACCATTAAAAATACATCTGAATTCCCCCTGACAATGGAAAACTCAATAGCTTGTGGAAGAAATGAAGCTGTATTACTTGCTTTAAATTGCTGCTGCTCAGCACAGTAATGTGAACACTGTTAGCCAGCTGTAGTGCAGTGTGCACACTGGGAAAAGGGACTGCACCAAAGGAAAAGAGTCAGGCTCCTTAATATAAAGGGTTTTTTTTCACCTCGTAGTAATTCAAGAAGCAAGGCCCCTAAAAAGCTCCTAAGTCACAGCAAAACTTTCATTGGCCTAGAAAGCCAGGTAGGAATTAGCAAAGGTCACATCATATCAAGGAAGAAGTGCAAGCAAATAGAAAAATCCTTCCTTTAATCTCTTGGGTATCAGACAGATCCTTAGTATTGTATTAGTGTGTTAAAATATGGCTGGAGAACTCCAGAGAACACAAAGATGGAATTATGCTTGGGAATGTAAAATTGTTAAGCAGATCAAAATGGTCTTATTATATAAGTCTGCATGCAAGAGAATCAAGATAAAGGAGGAGAATATTGTGCATAGGTGGCACAGGCAAGGAGAAGCATCAGCCAGAGCACAGGTTACTTTACCTTGATGGGCTTGAATTTCGGGTAGGACCTTTTCTATGACTGCTAATGCTTTTCTATGGTAATCTGCTTGTGCTTCTAATAACTGAGAACAGAAGCCACATTTTAAAAACAAAAAGAGCATTAGCTTCTGATGAGCACATAACACAAGACTAGAAGGTTTAGCACACAAAATATTATCTTTGAGAACTGAGTGTCTACACATATATGTGCTGCAATCAAAGTCATACCCAAAAAATACTCACCATAACAAAACATCTAGCATACTCCCCTTCTTTGGACACAAAGTTATACATGTCTGCTGCTAGCTGATCCTTTGGGAAACAAAAGAAGGCAAAACATTACATCAAATTTACAGGGGCATTTTAACTTATACAGACAGACATTTTATTTTGCCTGCAGTAGGTTTGAACTATTGATGCAGGCAGTACAGGAAGCCAGTAATCCACTGACTCTGATACAGGTGTTCTTCCAAGCAAAATTCCTTCCAAATGCCTAATTTTGGTTTCTATAGCAAAAGCAGTTGCCCATTTAAGTCACCACTTTGACTGTATGACAAGTTGTTATTTACAGCCAACCTCTGCATACAAAGACAAGTACAGCTAAAAGGTTTTTGGTGCTCAGCTCAGCTGCAGCATAACAGGATTTGGCAGCCAAGAAGTGAAATGGAACAAACTGCTCAGAGCTGTAGCAGAATGTTCCTTCTATGTCAGCAGCCTGCATTTCATCCAGGTAGCCCACACTGCATGGCTACTGAGTGGCTTGAAGCACACAGACAGCCTGAACATTTCAGTCAAGGCTAAGACAGTTGCTTCTCATAGCTGAAGCAAAAAGACAGGCAGACAGACACTCATCTCCTCATACCTTGCATTGCTCTACTTTATTTCCAGCTTCATCCATCTCTTCCTTAAGAGACTCAATTTTTGAAGGATGCACTTGAAAATTTGTTCCTGATGTCTTGTGGGCTTGGTTGTACCTGTGGAGCAAAGGCTTCAGTCATCTGGTGAAAACTCATTAAATGAGAATCAGTATTTATGGCTCCCTTGAAATTGGTTTCTTTTGACAGCAAACAAACCAAAATAGTTTCAGGGATTTCCCAGCAGAACTAAGGGAGGTGTTCAAAACCCAGCAATTCTGACAGTCTGTAACACGGGTGTATAATGTTAGAACTACAATCCCAGAAAATGCCACAAATTATCACCACAGTTTAAATCTGTTTAAATGGGAAGCTGAAGAACCCAGGACCCTACCAATGAGATGGGTCAATATAATGCTGTAAAAGCACTTGGCATGGCTATGAAATTAGAATCCTATTCCTTAAGTTGACAACTTGAGTGAACAGGAAGGAAGATGAGTTTTCAGCATTTCCCCCATTATACATAGGCACATAAGAGCTGCAAAACCTTGGTTCTGCTTGGATCTAGTAATCAGGAATCCTTTCTTGCATAACCTAAATGTAAGTTTGTCTTTTTTCAGCCAAGTATTTACATGCATACAGCAGCATTTCAGAAGCAATTACCAGCATCAGATCAGACACCATGAGATGCCAACAAGAAGTTAACATGAATAGAACTAGCAATTAAAATGACATCTTACCTCCCTCTTGCAGAATCCCAGTCCAACACCAGCTTTGCAAGCTGCTTCCTCTGCTTCTGAATGTTTGGGATCTCTGTCTAAAAAGAGAATTCAAGGCTTAAATTTAATTTTAAATCGTGTGTTGCATTAAACTACACTTTGTAGGCTTCATATCCCCTTCCCAACATTTACACAACTCCTTAAAACATTTTTATTAGCAACAAGACAAAACCTTTTTGCTCAGTTTATACATAAATCCCCATTTATTTCTTCAGTCAGACTCAAGTGACTCACCTCTGTTAGTGCACAGAGAGGATCTAAAACTTCTCTTTCGATCTGTACTTCATGCTGAGACAGCTCCATTGCCAGCTTATTCTCTGCATCACCACACGTATCCAGCATTTTCCTTTAAGAATTAGGGAAAGCTGTAATGTGAGTTACTACTGACCACAGAAGCAAGATTCAAAAGGAAACAGTGCTGGCCCCTCTGTCATCTGCTACCCTTTTGGAAAGCTTGGTGTGGTATAAAGCAAGGCATTATTTCATGGCATAAAACCAAGCTGCTCTGTGCTGTCATGGGCAGATCTGGGATAGGCAAGGAATGTTATTAAACTTTTGTCTTCTAAAATTCCTTACCCATTACAACATTTTTGGAGGCTTTAAGTCATCCAGGTGATTATACTGGCACCAAGGGCAGGGAAGTTAGTATTTCTTTCTAAGCCTATCCTTCCATCTTACCAGAGGCAGAAACATTGTTCAAAGTAGTATTTAATTTTCTCCTAAGCCCCTTTAATGTGAAAGAGTCTTAACACCTTAATGCTAAGCAATCACATATGCAGCAGTCTCAGGTTCCAAACCCACGATTTGACCTTTGTTTTAAGCTTGTTCCAAGGAAAATCCCCATTCTCTAAGATTTTTATCCACGTTTAAATCTCCTGCAACAGCTCACAGAAATGCACACCAAGGTTTTTAAGGTCATCCTGCACCATCTCCATTAGAATTCCCAGCAGCAACAAGGAAACGTTTGCTGGAGGAGTTCAGCACATTGGTGTTCATTTGTCTCAGCCACTTCCCTGTAAGCTGCAAATCTGTGCTTGCCAGGATAAGGAAACTGGCATCATTTTAACTGGAAGCCATTCATGCAAAGTGGCATTATTTGAAGTCATTAACACAAACATGCAGTATTTGCACTAAATTTTAGGTCTTAAATGGGGATAATGATTCTACTCATCCACAAGGATAAAAGGCATTTTCAGAAGCTTTTAAGATAGCACAGAATCAGAATCCTCTGTTAGCAAGACTAAAACTTGCCCCCAGAATCACTCCAGAAGAAATGCTTGCTCACTATTTCTCCCTTTGGATTAGAGAAAGGATCTAGAAATATTAGTTTCATTAGACTGAAAACAGCCTTTGTGTACCCAGAGTCACTAATTAGAGTCCTGCAGGCAATAAAATGAGACTGCAGCTTATAAAGAAAGCCAAACACTTACCCCAACAGAGTTTCATCACTTAGCTGGACAGATCCTTCTTGCATATTTTGAGCAAGAGCTGTTAGAGGAAGTTTTTTCTATGGAGCAGAAGGAACAGTTCTTAGTTTAGCACTATTCACCCTTTCCAACTTTCCCAGTACATCCCCCTCTAACATTTTTCTCTTCTTCCATATGGTTTCTATTATACACACATGCAGCTCATTCTTTAAGAAAATGTCAAATCACAAGAAGATTCAAGCCTCAAAATTTCAGTTCTTAGAGACTTAGAAAAGCATTTTCTTCTCAGTCTTAGCCAGAGTGACCGGCCCAAAAGGTACCTCAGCTATTGCCAAAGAGCTGTAAAGAGCTTTAACCTGAGATCTAAGCAAGAAGCTTGTCACCTCTCTTGCTGCAGAGGTTCATTCTGTGTGCCTTTGTTTTCAGGGGCTCTCTATTATTCAATAAAAGAAATAAAAAAACTGAGGATTAATTATTTGTGGCTCTAACTCTTTAAGAAAACCTACCCATGGCTTTGCTAAAGAGGGGCAGAAATCAAACGTGTGCAGGAAACTGGAGACGTCAGTGCCCAAAGGTAACTGTAAATGTGAGGAGCCTGATCAGCATTGCAGAGTGTCCTCTCCTCTTAGCTGGGTCTCACGACAGCTGGGAGCACTCAGCACGCTGCAGAAACCAGTGAGTGTCCTGACCCTCCCAGGCTGTGCTGTTGTGTTTGGGTGGGGAATCACAGCTAGCGAGCATTTTACCCAATAATGTCAACGTGGGAGATGACTGTACAGTTCTCCTTCCCCTGGATAACTCAAGGCATAGCTGCTGATCAGTATTTAAAGGCCAGGCTGTGTTCAGAGCAGCCTCAGCAGGCGCGCTGAAGGTGAAGGGTACTTACATGCCTCTTGTCAGGGTCTGTCCCATGCTGGCCCTGGAAACAGGCGATTAATCGCTTCTGGGCAATGTGGCACACGGACCTCACAGTGTCCAGACGTCTCTCGATCTAGGCAGCAGGAGGGGGAGAGAGGAGGAAAACAAAACAAAAAACAGAAGTTATTTTCCAGGCCTCAGCAGAAAATCTTCCTCCCGTACCACACTTAGCTCTGGGTTGCATATTTCTCAAGCTCTACGGCTTACAAGAAATTCAGATGCTTAGCAGAAGTGCCCGACAGCAAAAATGCTCAGAAGGAGATTTAAACTGCATTTTTCTTTGGTGGCACAGCAGTTCAGGCAGAACTCACAATGCTGGAAAGACTGGAAGACAGAGAAAGACATGCATCAAGAGAAGTGTGGCCAGCAGGTCAAGGGAGGTGATTCTCCCCCTCTACTCTGCTCTGGTGAGACCCCCCCTGGAGCACTGCATCCAGTTCTGGAGCCCCCAGGACAAGAGGGACGTGGAGCTGCTGGAGCGTGTCCAGAGAAGGGCCACGAGAATGATCCGAGGGCTGGAGCAGCTCTGCTGGGAGGACAGACTGAGAGAGTTGGGGCTGTTCAGTCTGGAGAGGAGAAGGCTCCGAGGGGACCTTATTGTGGCCTTCCAGTATCTTAGGGGGGCCTACAAGAAAGCTGGGGAGGGACTTTTTAGGCTATCGAGTAACAACAGGACTGGGGGGAATGGGGCAAAGCTGGCAGTGGGTAGATTCAGGCTGGATGTGAGGAAGAAGTTCTTCCCCAGGAGAGTGGTGAGACCCTGGGATGGGTTGCCCAGGGAGGTGGTTGAGGCCCCATCCCTGGGGGTCTTTAAGGCCAGGCTGGAGGAGGCTCTGGGCAGCCTGATCTAGTGGGAGGTGGCCCTGCTCATGGCAGAGGGGTTGGAACTGGGGGATCCGTGTGGTCCCTTCCAGCCCTGACAGATTCTGATCTGTTTTAGCCGAGGACTTTAGAGCCCTAATGGCTCAATGGTTGGACTTGATGATCTTGGAGGGCCCTTCCATCCTAAAGGATTCTATGATTGCTCCTACTTTTTGTCTCAGCAAAAGAGATTCGGGTTCATACTTGCCATCTGAGAGGATTTGCACATGCAGATACCCAAGATGCTCATTTAGGGAGAAAACTGTGGGAAAACTCATATTCTTTCATTGGGACCTCCTAAAGTAGAAGGCTAAAGACAAACCTGACCATTCCCTTACACTGGGCCAAAAACATGTACTGCAAGCTTTCGACTGTTTCCTTCTCCAGCTGTCAAACACAAGGACAAAGTTCCCACATGCTAAGCAAAATAATATTTCCAGGGAGAGATAAATGGGGTTCAGAGAGGATGGAGATGAAAAACCAGGCATCAATGTACAAGCAAGAGTTCCATTTGTCACAGTATATTTGAAATATGGTTTAATACACAGATTGTGAATGGGACAAAGATACACATTAATAAACAGGTCTTTTAAGGGATTTTAAGGCATTTGGACTATTTTATTTCAAAGAACCCCAAAAGCAAACAAAATGATGAGCTCTCTAAGCACAGCACCAAAAGAATGTGGTTTCTCTGCATTTTGATGACTCACCAAGAATAAGGTGGCCCTTTGGAACAGGCTTTAATTTGAAAAGCACAGCAAAGAAAACAGTAGATTTCATCTCTAGAAATAAACTGAACCAACTCTAGTTTCTGATACAGCTCTGAAATCACTCCTACTACATTTTCAGGAGGGCAATAATTCTTCACAGCTTTCCTATCAGTCATGAATACAGATTAGCTGACAGAATAGTAATTTTTAGTGCTATTTATGCCCTGTGTGAGCTCCTGCTGGGGCCACCACACCTGGATTTCAAGTAGGAGACACGCTGTTGGTTTGTCTGGAGGAGGCACACTGCTGTGTCCTAACAAACCCCAAATGCTAGAAATTCTCATTTGGGATGTTATACGTTCCAGTATGAATGAATTTGTTTTTTCCTCCCCACAGGTTTCCTCAGCACTACTGTGATGGGACATGTATATCCCTGAAGTGGATACAACTGGAAGGATGTGACTAGGTCCTAAAGAAAACAGCAAGTAAAAACTACAACTAGTAGAAGGAATAGACCAAACAGAGGAGGAGCCTCCAGAAGTGTGGGTTGGGAGAAGCTGTGAGGAAAAAGATGCCAGTGAAGGGAGGCACAGGCAGATGGGGACCTGGTGAGGATCAGCACAGCATCACTGCTGTCAGACCTGGGAGCCCTGTCCTGGGCACACAAGCAAGTGCAGGACAGGGCTCCCCGTTTCCTCTCAGAAGAGGGGAGCAGAGGTTCTGCTGAGCCTGGAGGAGCACTCAAAGCTGGCCTTGCATGGCTGCCCAGCAGAGGTCTTTGCAAGTCCAAAGGGAGGGTGAACAAGAACCAGTATAGGAGGGCTGGTGAGCAGGAGGACCAGCGTAAGGAGACTGAAGTTTCACTGGCTATATGAGGCTTTAAAGGGACTAAAAGCTCTTGATGGCCACAAGATGAATCCAATTTGAGGTGCTCAAAAAGCTTAGCAAAAATCTGTTTCAGCAGAGTAAGGTGCAGAGAAACTGCCCCAGAAGGATGGCTCTGAAAGCACAAGGCACTGCCTTTTATTCACAGAGCACGTTATCAAAAACCTGAAAATTAAGTCCACTTCAAGAAAGTTCACAGGAAGATACAGCAGACAAGAAGGTACTGGCTGTGGTCTACTGCTGCAGCTAAAAGAATTTATTTTGAAGATAAGACAACAGAAATCAAGTACCACCAACACAACCTAAAGTATTTATTTTTGCTTGGTCACATAGTTAAGATTTCTTCAAATACTGAACGCAGGTTTGGTTTTGTTTCCACGCCTGAAACGTGGTGACATCCTGTAACTGAACCATCTTACAGACCCCAGCAGACTAACCCAGCCCTTCTTAGCCATGCACAGTGGCTTGTGTTCCTTAGAAAGACTCCTTAGCAAAAATATTCCCAACAGTCTCTTTCCAGGCAGTCTGAATGCCAAACTCAATGGGCAGATGACTGATAGAAGGAATGTGACCCCAAAACACTCAAAAATAATGGTCTCTTCTCTCTGATCTGCTTTTCAGTTCAAAGATGTCAGGAAAAGCATGAAGGACATTAATCTCCATTAAGCTACCTTTGAACTGAAAGTGTGACCTACAGGCCATGCTGTCTGTACCCACAGGGCATCTTCAGTGTACAAAACATCACACAATTGCTTTATTATATACTACAAGGGCATGCCAGAAAGTGGGGCTATTGTAGAAGCCTTTCCAGTACTGAATTATATTCCTTGTCTCTGGACAGGAACACATTTAACAGACATACTTGGAATGGAGTATTCTACTTTAGAAAACAGAAAAAAGCTATGGCAATCCTATGTCAAAGCTTGGGCTAAATATAAAAAAGAACACTGTGAAATGTTTATGAAGTGAACAGTACCATGCTTCTAAGCTCTTTAGTTAGATAAGAGCCTCCCTCCCCTCCACAAGCCCCCAAGAGCAAACAAACAAGTGAGTAAATTCTTCCACTTGGGTGTAGCCAGTCTGCTCTGTGCCTGGGAAAGCCTTGCTTGCAAAATTTTTTTGGCAACAAGCAGCAGTACTTTTGGCTTTCACTTCTTGTTGCTGTTCTGCAGCTAACCAAGAAAACAGATGGGCCCTTGAATGCTATCAAGGTGTTTTAAACATCCATTATGCCATTTATTTGTTCACATCTCTTCAGAAATTAAGAATAGTATTGTCAAACTGCTAAGGTATTTATGGTTTGAATAAAGGAGCTCCCTGAAAAACAGGGTAAAATGTTTCAGGTCAGGTCATTACACCATTCCTCAAGATGATTTAATGCATTTGTGCTGAATTCAAGTTTTAAGGCTGATACATTCTCTCATCTTCTACGTCAGTTTGAACAGCTGGAGAGATCTGAAACAAAAGTACTTGCATCATTTAGTCTGACATCCACATTTCATGCACAGGTCCTGAACTTCAGCATACTAAGATGCTTTGTAGGCAATGTGCAACCACCACAGCCCTGGAGGCCCCCAGCTGCGAGCCTCCCTCTGCCTGTCTGTCTTCTCGTGGTTTGAAAAGTCTTTCACAAAGTAACCAGAGGAAGGACACCATGCAGAACAAGTCTGGAGTCACATTTGTTCCACGTAATCAGCCAATCTTGTTAAACTAACAGTTGCAACTAAAATGCCACTGTAAAGGCAATGATTGATTAGACAGTATGTTTTCAAAAAGATGACAAGTCTGACACCAAATCAGTGGTCAGTGTGGCGAATTTGAAAACAAATATCACAAGCTAAACATCTGTATGCTGAATTTAGAGCAATTCCAGACTCTCAGGAAGGAAAAAAAAAAGACATTATCTACTAGAAAGCAGTTGGCATGTTTTTTGGCACTTCAAGTTCAAGCTGACCTTTTCAAGAGAAACAAATGAGGACAGAAACCAGCTGTGCTCAGGAAGGAAAAAAAAAAGACATTATCTACTAGAAAGCAGTTGGCATGTTTTTTGGCACTTCAAGCTGACCTCTTCAAGAGAAACATGAGGACAGAAAGCAGCTGTGCCCAACCACAGCCTCTCCCCAGCTCATCATCCCCCACCAGACAGACTGTCAAGTCATTAACACTAATGGTTCATAAGCTTAACAAGGTAGTTCATCTAATTAAAAGCAAAAATGCTTCCTCCCTCACTTTATCAAGCCACACCACTGGATTCAGAAACAGACACAATTTGAGAGGAAAAACTCAAGTACATCTTCAGTTTAGGTGCTGAGAAGTCAGCCAAAGACATCCCTGTTTTCACTCCTGTCATTTGCACTTTTTTTTCCCCCCACACTAGGTACTCCACAAAACTCAGAAGGCTCAAACTTCACAAAAAGCATTAAAAATAAATACATATTAATGTGTTACAATACCTGCAACAGGTCTTCACTGAGTACTTCCGTCTTCTCAGCCCTAGGGGAGGAAAAAGGACCATTGTCAGACTCATTAGAATGTTCAGGGTCAAAGACTGCTGCAAGGCTTTCAACAAAACCCCTTCAGTTCTGAGTTATAATCCCATTATGACCATTAGGACACACGCTCAAACCTTCCCACGTACCATTCCACACCTTGTTCCAATCCCAGTTTACACATAAACTTTGATTTATTTAACTTTGGCACAGATTTGATTGGTGTTGACTCATTTGTTGTAATGCTGCTTTATCCTCCTTTTGCTACATCCATAAAATAGAGAAAGATAAACTTAGCTTGCCCATGATCTCTTGTGCTACATGTCTGTTGCTACAGGACTTGGAGGTACTCCAGAGCTCTATTTTCCTGTCCAGAGTTTCCCCTGTGGCTGTCAAGATTCCTCATCTACTACAGTGACTTCCTTCTGATCCTGCAATCTGTTTAATAACCTACTGCAAGACTGGTCATGCACAGAAAGTTAACTCTCCTGATCAGGCTCCATCAACAGAAGATGTGAAATGCCTTCAAAGAGGATATTCACTCATTTTAACTTGAAAGTTCTTTTGTTTGGTTAGTTGTTTTTAAGGCACATGAATTCAATTTCATGGCACATTACCTGCTTGAACTACTTCTGAACCATCAGGTGTTTAATAATTAAATGCTAGAATACAGTAATGCTCAAAAACTCAGTAAGACTAAGACAAAAGCCACTTAAATACTTCAGTAGTAAAATAAGCCACAAGCACTGTAATATTTGTTCAGGAAAACAAAATCGATAAACTCTTCCACACAAATTGAAATAACTATGTCTGATTGAAATTATGTTCTGCTAGAGATCAATTATTTGATTTATTTTCCTTGCAAAATCCCACCAGACATATGGAAGAACTACAGTGTAAGAATACTCCAGGTATAGCAGCACATTCCCAAACAGATTTTAATCTAAACCTGAGCAGTAACCTGGCAGTGCTGCGTTAACAGTTGGACTTGATGATCTTGCAGGTCTTTTCCAACCAGAACAATTCTATGATTCTACTACACACATCAGCTAACTGGTTTGACAGAATACTGAGCTACTAAATATTTCTGTAGGAACATAGTGCTGTGCATGATGATGGTTCCATAGGAAAATCCCTGAGCTGCCTGAGTTTTCTCTCCCTCAGACTGTAAGAGCAAAGCCACCTCTGTTTTCAAAATTCAACTTAATAGTGTAGGTGCCCTTCATGAAGAAGGGGTCCTATTTACCATGGCTGACATGGCTGTTTGTTTCAAATACCATTTTCTCCTCCACCCTGTTTTCCACAGGTGAATGGATGCTTTTCACTGAGCTTTCATGAAATTAAATCTTACCCACCTTTAAGAAAGGGTCTCTACAACCTTTAAGAAAGGGTCTCTACAGTGCTACCAGGGCTCCAGCTCTGTATTGCACCAAGAGACACTCAAAGGGCTCCTCTTTGACCCTGAGCCAGTCCAAGCAGTGCATGTAGAAAGGCACCAGTTGCAGTAGCAGGCAGGAGTTGTCCCACCCTGACTGGGGTGGCACGCTGCCCACCAGCCTGGATTTGAGGGGCAGCCCTGAGCAGAGCTGTTCACTGCCCAGCAGCTGGCTGCAAAGCCACAGCCTCCCTTCCACACATCCAGCTACTGTAAACTAAACAGCCTACCAGAAAGGAGCCGATTTTGATATTTAAGAGCAGCCACCTGCAGTTCCAGCCATGTTAAGATTTTCTAGTTAAAGCCATCAGCACTAACAAGAGATAAGCTTGGCAGGTCAGCAGTGCTCCAGCAGCTGGGCTCCATCCTTCCAGGAGAACCTGGAAAAACAGCAAGGCAGCAACAGTGCCACACACGATGTACAGGGATTCACTGGATGTACCACCATGGCAAAAGCCATGGAGAGCAGCTGCCTTCTCCACCTTCACCTACGTCTCAGTTTCCTTCTTTGGCCTAAAATTGTTTCAGAGAAAAAGCTGCTGGTTTCTACATCTGCATTATGCAACTGAAGCTTGCACTGACTCCCCTGTGGATCTCTTGTCCTTAGTTTGGCTCAGGGTAAGAGAAAGTCAGATTAGATGAAGGCGTTTCAGGAGTTCACTCACCCTGGATGCTGACACACATATCAGTGAGATACAGAACAGACACAGCAGAGATGTGACACAGCAGAGCACCCAACCTCAACCCAAGCAGCAGCCTTCAGAAATAAACCAGCCACCTCAGGTGGCATAACTCAAAACAACTTCTAAGAACATTCAGAGTACTTCTAACTGGACATGTACACATCATTAAACCACTACACTGCTGATCATCAGAAGAATAGTGATAGAGAGTTCACAGAATGTTTCCCACCCATGCAGCAATAACAAAATTACTATTAGATTTTGTACATTCACTGTTAGCTATTTGGAATAATGAAATGCATTTTATATAAATTATCTTTAGAAGAAGCAATGTTCTTTCTAATATTATTCTGTATTTGTGCTCAACAGAAGCTCTCATTATACTACCATAAAGTTACCGTGTGCTTTTGAATGGCTTTAGCCACAACTTTAATTGAAAACCATCCAACAGTAGGAGAGAGTTTCCACACAACTTTAGATTCATTAAAAGTCTCATTTCTCCTTCCCCTCCTTTTTTTTATATCCATCCACGTGAAAAGCAAACACAGCTCAGTGATGTGCTAGGAGCAGTTCATTTCCATTTTAAACAAGCTTACCCACAGACTATGTATCATTATGTGAAGCCCAAACAATTGTCATGTATTTATCTTAGGCACTCTTCGTACACCTAACTGGTTTATCAAGGGTTTAAAGTCGCAGCCTGACAACCCAGATCCCCTCCTGTGAAGCCAGGGATGTTTTCCCCCATCACTGGTGGCAGCAGGACAGCGTCCCCTGGCCAGTGCTGATTTAGAAAAGCCACTGATGATGAGGTCAGGTTCGGAAATGCGGGAGGGAAGACCTCACCCTTCCTGCAGGCCCACATTCCACCTTTAATAAGGAAGCCAAGAAGGAGCCACTCAATATTTATTTCAGTGATCACAACCACGCAACAGAACATGCAATTGTGTGATAGCAGTGCAGCCCATCTCCAGACTGAGCAGGGAGAAGCACCACACCAAAGACACCTCTGCCCACCTCTGACTAACAGGTACTACTAGTTTGGAGTTTACATCTCACTGCAGCTTCACGGGATGTTAATTCCTTCTGTCAACTAATTAGAGAATTAGCAAACTTGCAGAAAATAACAGAACTTCTTTTTCACCGCTACTTCAAGTTCTGTCCTCACCCCTTGTTAGGTCTGACTTATATCTTATCTACTTGGTAGCATGAAGAGATGAAGAAATCCTTCCGGATTCCAGAACAGATTAAGAATTGAAAGATTTAGTTGCAGAGAGTGTTCCCAAGGGCTTTATTCAGGCAGCAGTGCTGGTAGCTGGACTCCAGCCTGGAGACCCTCCACTCTCAGCTTCCCCCAGGAGGTATCAGGAGCACAGCCCATCCCAAACAGATCTGGAAGCCCAGACCACAGCAGTGGTGGCTGTTTACATTCCCAGCAGCTAAGCTCCATACTGTCCAAACAGTTAACTCTCAGTTGCACAACGAGGTCCCTCGGAGCCGTTGCTGAGGAGGAGAGCACGCCCTGCTCCGAGCCTCTCCCCGTGCTGGGGGCCCCCAACCTGCCGGTCTGTGCCCGAGCTGTTTGCCCAGGACCTGTCCCAGTGCTCCCAGCAGGATCTGCTGGCACGTGGCAGGGACAGGGACCTGCCCTGCCCGAGCCTCACGACACCTCCTGAGGGAGACAGGCCGGAGGCAGCAGCAGCTGGGGGACATTGGACTCTGAGCACAGGGCTTGGTGTCAGACCCACTGCAGCACAGGCTCTTCAGCTGCCCAAACACAGGAGAGCTGCTAGGCTGGTAGCTGTCCCCAGAACGGCATGATTTGGAGACCTGAAGGTGGAGTTTTTCTCTGACACTAGCCAGGATACCTGTTACACCAGACCCTTCACATGACTGAGCCTGTACAAAGCTTTTCAATTAGAATTCAGCAGCACATATTGAAAGACTGCCTCTAAAACCAGAACCAAACCATCATTTGGTGCAGCTATACCCACTTCTTAAAAAATAAAGAGGACAAAACTACCCAATTCCCTAAAAGTGGTACTTTGAAACTGTTCCACACTGAGTTGGTACATTTTTCTCACCCAAAGTGCAGAGCCCCACAAGCTGCTGGCGGTGGCAGCAGCTGCAAAAGCAGCTCTGCAGTTCTTCACTGGCCCCTCTGCACTGACACAACACTTGGCTCAGCCAGCATGTAAGCCAGCCCAGCCGACCCAAAATCAGCTGGCAGAAACAGTTATTCTTCCACCAAATCAGCTCCCCAGATTCACTCGTCACACCAACAACCTTGCTGACAGCTCTGGGGTGGGAACAGGCAGCAAAGGCTCCGAGCACAGCTCAGCTGGTGAATGTCACAGCCAGCCAACAAACCTGAGCAGAGCTGGCTTCCCACTTCCTGATACCCCAGCAACGTGAAACTGCAATTTTCAACAAAATTTTTATTGCCAGATTGACTCTTCAAATATTTTTCTTTTCAAGACAGCAAATAGGGTACTTAGCATGAATACATCACGCCACAACTGCCAGAAGGAATTGCCTTCACTCACTCCAAGCAAAAACCCAAGAGGTTGGAGTGGAAGGACTGTTTTATTCTAGACAGGTTAATTACAACACCTTAGCTTGCTGTGTCATTTTACAGAGCTATTGCTTGTGCCCCCAGTTGGCCTCATCTCTAAGTGCTTTATAGCATCATTCATTTTATTTCTTTCCTTCTTCCCAGTAAGGCCCTTGAGCACAGCCCAGCACGTCAGGTGCTGCTGCAGCTTACTGCCCAGCTCAGCTGTGAGCAGGGAGGGCACATCAGCTCTCACACTACAGGTTTAAAACTGGTCCCCTCACATTTCCATCATTTCACAGCTCCTCCACGCTTCCAGGCCAGAAGGCTCT